TTTTCTATTTGGCTTTCTTTAAGTTAACTTACACTCCCCTAAGGGTTTGTAGAACGATATTATTTGTCTGCTATATCACACTTCTTGATGACACCAAAGAAATATCCTGGGTTGCACATCATACATAGCTACATACGATTATGTAAATGGGTTCAAAAAGTTATCTTTTCTAAGAAAACTTATGAATGAGAAGAACAAAACAGCGAAGGAAACCAAGGAAAAGCACAATGAAACACAAAAACAAAAAGCTGAAAGTGAGGACAGACATTCCAGCACAAATGAACGTACCAACAAAAGAAGAAACTGAAAACAAAGGGAGAACAACATGAAATTTTGAGTTTCGGAAAGAACAGCTGAAACGGAGGACAGACAGCTTAAATGCAAAGGGATTGGCAAAAACGGATGAAGCTGAAAGAAATTTGCACTAAAGGGGAGATGATAAGTAGGTTTAGGAATAACATCATAACCTTAGAAAAGAAGTCAAAACATTCCGAAAAGTGTTACTAGAAATACGAAAAAGGAAGCACGTGTTTAAAAACTGTGTATAACGATGCAGAGAGCTGAACAAAGTAAATATTTAAATCAAGATAAAAAACAACAACATTGGGAACGAAATAAAAAAGAGAAGAAAAACACATTAAGAAAGCACCTTGAAACAATTTACTTTGAAATATGACTCTGGAATAAAATTGAAATGTGATGGATAACCGTTGAAGCTCATGCAGACAATTAAGAGATACAACTTATGACGATAATGTTATGGAAAATGCTTGTGTGTGGTAATAGTTGGGTCTTGTAAGGCTAGCTTCTTTGTGATAACATCAAGCTCTCAGCTTCCCCAGACTGTTCTTATCAGCCATGCCGGTCTAGAGTAGTGTATGCGCATGTTGTAAATACAAATCAGGATCATAATATGCGGCCTTCCACAATTAGCATAGTCCTTATGGTTAAAGGGACATACTCGTGTCGTTCTGCCTCCTGAATTGTTAAATGTGCGATTTTCAAATTCTATAAACATGTATGTTTTAACATTCATTTGTTTTGAAAATAACGATTTCGTTTCATACATAACCGTGCGTGAAAGGAAGTTTGTTTTATACGAAGTGTATTTCGAAAAAAATTTAAAGCAACCAGTTTAATTGTAACGGGAACCGTTGAACTAATCATTCAAACTACCCATATTATCGCAAATGATGCGTCAGAAAGAGCATTCATTGCCATTATACACTTACATATCAAGTGTGAGCAAAGGTATCACCCTGGCGTACACACTAAGTGTGAGCAAAATCAAGACATAGAGAGGGACCATTGGCATCACCTTGGGGTACATAAAAAATGTGAGAAAAATCAAGACGACAAAATAAAGGACCATTGGCATCACCTTGGCGTACATACTAAGTTTTAAAAAGATCATTACATATGAGGGACCATTGGTATCACCCTGGCGTACATAGTTTGAGGAAATTCAAGACTTAGAGAGGGACCATTTGCATCACCTTGGCGTACATCCTAAGTGTGAGCAAAATCATTACATAAAGAGGGACCAGTGGTATCACCTTGGCGTACATACTAAGTGTGAGCAAAATCAAGATATAGAGAGGGACAGATGCATCACATTGGCGTTCATAACAAGTTTGAGAAAAATCAAGATGACAAAATGAAGGACCATTGGTATTACCCTGGCGTACATAGTTTGAGGAAATTCAAGACTTAGAGAGGGACCGTTGGCATCAC